GATAGGGGTCTGGGACTTCAAAGGAAAAAGAAGCAATTCACAAGACTATGAAAGAGCAAATGTTTAGTAAATGTTTCCTGGGCCACACAAAAACAATGGGACATAGGAACTTATCAGACTTTGCCACAGTCCTCCCTGTCTACCACCCCCAGTTCATATTATAATATAGTTATCTATGTGATAGCTCTCTTTCTGCAGCAGGTCCTCTATCTAAATTTTTTTTATATACTCAGTAGGTGAAAGGGTGTCAGGGGGGTCAAAGTTTCTTTCTGAGTCTTATGGGACATTATTTTCAGCTCTGGAAGTGTGTACTTTCAGCCTGAAATGAAGGCTTCTCACTGCTCAATTCACTGTGTTTTGTCTCTGCACTCTTCCAGTGGTAAGCATCTTTGTTACTTTGCTTTTTCATTCTATTTTCTAGACTTAGGCACTAGTTTTCTCTCTCTCTGTTCTACTTCAGACAACTAGGGAAGGGCTACTGAGATGTCTGGTTTGGACTTGCAAGTTTGCACTGCCTGGGTGACCTAGACAGGACTGTAGCTGTACAATCATGCTCTTCAGCTGCCTACCTAAAAATCTCCTTTCTTTGCCTTTGGGAAGTTCTCAGAACATAATCTCACTCCATCCAGTGCTCTGCGGCTCCCTCAAATCCTGGGATGGTAGGGACTTAGTTCCCATGGCATGCAGATTCAAGCAGACACTGGACTCCAGGTGACTCTGACTTCAGGAGTTGGCAAGGGATCTGACCTGTGCTGAGCAGGAGTTCAATGAGCTTCCCTTTCCTCCCTCTGTTCTTCCTTGCTCTCTGCTGCCTGCATGGCTGCTGCCATTCCCTGCTGCTCTTGCTTTAATGAATTCCTTCCTTACCTACATTCGTCTGACCTGCTCAAGAATTCTTTCTCATTCAGTCAAGAATGACTCTCCCTCGCCCAGTTGAGGTTTTACATGGTGCGCAGGGTGACACCTCCCCAGACACAGCAGCCTGACACTACCATCACCAATGGACCTCTGCACAGAGACTACTGCCTAAACAGGACAAAAAAAAGTAGCACAGAGAAAAATGTTGCTCGTTCATCTGCTGACTCTCTGGAATGGGGCTGACAACCCCCACAGAGTTCTGAATAGGCAATTGGAGATTCTTACTCATTCAATACTAACTAAATACCAACTCTATGTGCAGTGTCATTATCAGCACTGGGATCCTTCAGATTTATGATGAGGGCAGTCCTAACAAATACTTCAGGCTGGTCCATCACCTTCCAGACAGCTCCAGAATCAACATATACCTCAGGCCAAAGAATCAAGATAACATTCTAGCCCTTTATTTAGCTACTTACCTACACAAGCAAATGCTGGAGCAACACACTTAGAAAGTGAAGTTATACTGTCTTCCTGAAATCAAAAGATGTCAAATCTCCACAAGAACTGGGAAAAAAGCTTCTTCAACAAATGAGATTTCACATGACTGTGGTGTTGTTTGTTTTACCTGCTATCTCCAAAAGTGGGTTTACGTGATCTCCTTCTGCCAGTTTCACAAATCCAACCTGATTTCCAAAAGTGTCAATCCCTTGAAAGGGCAAAGTCAAATGTTTTCCTTGGAGGATTTCTTCTATGAATGGTTTTAACTCCAAAAGAGCATCAATACCACTGGTAAGAGAGAATACATTTTTCAGTAGCATATTAAATAACGAAATATACAAAGCCAAATAATAAATAATGAAAAATTTAAATTTTTATATTTGTGCTGATTATTTTAAAACTCAAAAATACCTTCAAAATCTAATTTATATGATTAAACTAATACTAATTTTTAAACAAAAACAATGGAAGAAGGGAATTAATTATAATTTATATTATATCAAGACCTGAAAGAAGATAATATTTTATTATTATATTATATTATAAAAAAGTTCACCAAGAAATTTTTTAACCAAGGAAATACTGCACTGACAAATGATAATTACCGATCAGTTTCTGACAATAATTATCGCAAAAAAACTATTTCATTTCAAAAACCTAGTAACTGTAAGAGCTTACATTAGATCATACAGAAAGTTCTAGATTCTTATTAAAAGTATGAATACATATATAGTATTTACTATTTGTTAAGCACTCTACTAAAACTTAGTATACATTATCTCTTAAAATATAATGGTCTCCATAATAAGATTATTTACTGTACTTGGATTCAACAAAAATACTAGTCTATATTCGCCAAGTACAACTATTTAAGTTTGATATATCTGTTTAGCCTATATGAGTACAGAGCTATTCAGTGCTTCCAATGCTTTTTTTAGTTATATTTCTATTATATCAATGAATTAAACACTTCAGGCTTGTAATATTTTGAAAATTAGGATCAGTTACTTCCATCTTGAGGATTTTATTATGAGAAAAAAATTAAAACATCACTAGGGGGCAGCAATTACTCTAGAAAGAAAGAAATACAGAGAAGGCATTAAAACACCCTTCCGGCCAACCACCATTTAATTTATCTTGATTAGTGATTTGTTCACAAGTATTAGATGTCAAATGTGTGCAAAGAAATGTAGATGCTTTCTAGATGTTTCATATATCTAAATTAGTTGTGTATAAAGTTTTTAATTGATTTCTATTCATAGCTTCTACACAGAGTCTCCTTTCTCTGTCATAACAAATGTATAATACTTCAAAATAGCTTTGGAAATGTCAACATTTCTCATTGTACTTCCAAATCCAGATCCTAAATCCAACTTGTCCTAACTGTATTTATGTTCATCCAAAAAGATAGTGCTCACACTTCTGCTGCAATACTGTTCTTCATTGTGTATTGTGAGTTAAAACCTGTGAAAATACAATAGCCAATTCTGGCTCACCTATCATAAATTGGGGGGATTCAAGTTACTCATTTGAAATGTTACAATATACTAAAGCAGGCCATACTAAAGATTTGGGCTTTTTCAGAGGCAGGGCATTCTATATCCTACTTTAAAGAAATATGGATGGTCTAAACTCAATCTAGTTTTTTAGTTCTTTAATAGTATAAATCAATAAATCTATGCTGATGGGAGGTTACTGACCCCAGAGGGAGGAGTCACAGTGTCTACTAATATCATTAACTTACAAATTCTTTGAAGTGGAATATCCTTGCAAGAACAGTTTAGGGTAAGACTTCTTTATGATAAAATGAGCAAAAAGTATACACAGAATTCTGAAACTGGAATTCAGACTCAAAAGTTATATGTGAATAGCCATATTTTCAAATCAGCATCTGCATTTGGCCTAATGTATTACTATTCCTTTCTTCTGCACTATGAGGACACAAAGGACCGTAGGTGATATCTACTTAGAGAAATTCATGATTTTCCAAAAATGTTGTGTACCCTCCAAATCAAATCCATTGATCAATACTATTAAACACCTAAAATATGAAACTAGAATTTGAAAAGAGGAAGTGCTAACAAATCGATGTCTAGATTATTAAACAGTATAGTATGAAAGATAAAATTAAAAGATTTTAGAGATTTACAATATCCTTCACATAAACAATGCCTTACCAGAAAAGCCAATCTGTTTCACACTCACTGTATGGCCACACCTTGAATCTCATCATCACTTAAAGCTGACAGTTCTGTCACAAACACATTATCAGACTTTGCCACAGTCCTCCCTGTCTACCACCCCCAGTTCATATTATAATATAGTTATCTATGTGATAGCTCTCTTTCTGCAGCAGGTCCTCTATCTAAATTTTTTTTATATACTCAGTAGGTGAAAGGGTGTCAGGGGGGTCAAAGTTTCTTTCTGAGTCTTATGGGACATTATTTTCAGCTCTGGAAGTGTGTACTTTCAGCCTGAAATGAAGGCTTCTCACTGCTCAATTCACTGTGTTTTGTCTCTGCACTCTTCCAGTGGTAAGCATCTTTGTTACTTTGCTTTTTCATTCTATTTTCTAGACTTAGGCACTAGTTTTCTCTCTCTCTGTTCTACTTCAGACAACTAGGGAAGGGCTACTGAGATGTCTGGTTTGGACTTGCAAGTTTGCACTGCCTGGGTGACCTAGACAGGACTGTAGCTGTACAATCATGCTCTTCAGCTGCCTACCTAAAAATCTCCTTTCTTTGCCTTTGGGAAGTTCTCAGAACATAATCTCACTCCATCCAGTGCTCTGCGGCTCCCTCAAATCCTGGGATGGTAGGGACTTAGTTCCCATGGCATGCAGATTCAAGCAGACACTGGACTCCAGGTGACTCTGACTTCAGGAGTTGGCAAGGGATCTGACCTGTGCTGAGCAGGAGTTCAATGAGCTTCCCTTTCCTCCCTCTGTTCTTCCTTGCTCTCTGCTGCCTGCATGGCTGCTGCCATTCCCTGCTGCTCTTGCTTTAATGAATTCCTTCCTTACCTACATTCGTCTGACCTGCTCAAGAATTTTTTCTCATTCAGTCAAGAATGACTCTCCCTCGCCCAGTTGAGGTTTTACATGGTGCGCAGGGTGACACCTCCCCAGACACAGCAGCTTGACACTACCATCACCAATGGACCTCTGCACAGAGACTACTGCCTAAACAGGACAAAAAAAAGTAGCACAGAGAAAAATGTTGCTCGTTCATCTGCTGACTCTCTGGAATGGGGCTGACAACCCCCACAGAGTTCTGAATAGGCAATTGGAGATTCTTACTCATTCAATACTAACTAAATACCAACTCTATGTGCAGTGTCATTATCAGCACTGGGATCCTTCAGATTTATGATGAGGGCAGTCCTAACAAATACTTCAGGCTGGTCCATCACCTTCCAGACAGCTCCAGAATCAACATATACCTCAGGCCAAAGAATCAAGATAACATTCTAGCCCTTTATTTAGCTACTTACCTACACAAGCAAATGCTGGAGCAACACACTTAGAAAGTGAAGTTATACTGTCTTCCTGAAATCAAAAGATGTCAAATCTCCACAAGAACTGGGAAAAAAGCTTCTTCAACAAATGAGATTTCACATGACTGTGGTGTTGTTTGTTTTACCTGCTATCTCCAAAAGTGGGTTTACGTGATCTCCTTCTGCCAGTTTCACAAATCCAACCTGATTTCCAAAAGTGTCAATCCCTTGAAAGGGCAAAGTCAAATGTTTTCCTTGGAGGATTTCTTCTATGAATGGTTTTAACTCCAAAAGAGCATCAATACCACTGGTAAGAGAGAATACATTTTTCAGTAGCATATTAAATAACGAAATATACAAAGCCAAATAATAAATAATGAAAAATTTAAATTTTTATATTTGTGCTGATTATTTTAAAACTCAAAAATACCTTCAAAATCTAATTTATATGATTAAACTAATACTAATTTTTAAACAAAAACAATGGAAGAAGGGAATTAATTATAATTTATATTATATCAAGACCTGAAAGAAGATAATATTTTATTATTATATTATATTATAAAAAAGTTCACCAAGAAATTTTTTAACCAAGGAAATACTGCACTGACAAATGATAATTACCGATCAGTTTCTGACAATAATTATCGCAAAAAAACTACTATTTCATTTCAAAAACCTAGTAACTGCAAGAGCTTACATTAGATCATACAGAAAGTTCTAGATTCTTATTAAAAGTATGAATACATATATAGTATTTACTATTTGTTAAGCACTCTACTAAAACTTAGTATACATTATCTCTTAAAATATAATGGTCTCCATAATAAGATTATTTACTGTACTTGGATTCAACAAAAATACTAGTCTATATTCGCCAAGTACAACTATTTAAGTTTGATACATCTGTTTAGCCTATATGAGTACAGAGCTATTCAGTGCTTCCAATGCTTTTTTTAGTTATATTTCTATTATATCAATGAATTAAACACTTCAGGCTTGTAATATTTTGAAAATTAGGATCAGTTACTTCCATCTTGAGGATTTTATTATGAGAAAAAAATTAAAACATCACTAGGGGGCAGCAATTACTCTAGAAAGAAAGAAATACAGAGAAGGCATTAAAACACCCTTCCGGCCAACCACCATTTAATTTATCTTGATTAGTGATTTGTTCACAAGTATTAGATGTCAAATGTGTGCAAAGAAATGTAGATGCTTTCTAGATGTTTCATATATCTAAATTAGTTGTGTATAAAGTTTTTAATTGATTTCTATTCATAGCTTCTACACAGAGTCTCCTTTCTCTGTCATAACAAATGTATAATACTTCAAAATAGCTTTGGAAATGTCAACATTTCTCATTGTACTTCCAAATCCAGATCCTAAATCCAACTTGTCCTAACTGTATTTATGTTCATCCAAAAAGATAGTGCTCACACTTCTGCTGCAATACTGTTCTTCATTGTGTATTGTGAGTTAAAACCTGTGAAAATACAATAGCCAATTCTGGCTCACCTATCATAAATTGGGGGGATTCAAGTTACTCATTTGAAATGTTACAATATACTAAAGCAGGCCATACTAAAGATTTGGGCTTTTTCAGAGGCAGGGCATTCTATATCCTACTTTAAAGAAATATGGATGGTCTAAACTCAATCTAGTTTTTTAGTTCTTTAATAGTATAAATCAATAAATCTATGCTGATGGGAGGTTACTGACCCCAGAGGGAGGAGTCACAGTGTCTACTAATATCATTAACTTACAAATTCTTTGAAGTGGAATATCCTTGCAAGAACAGTTTAGGGTAAGACTTCTTTATGATAAAATGAGCAAAAAGTATACACAGAATTCTGAAACTGGAATTCAGACTCAAAAGTTATATGTGAATAGCCATATTTTCAAATCAGCATCTGCATTTGGCCTAATGTATTACTATTCCTTTCTTCTGCACTATGAGGACACAAAGGACCGTAGGTGATATCTACTTAGAGAAATTCATGATTTTCCAAAAATGTTGTGTACCCTCCAAATCAAATCCATTGATCAATACTATTAAACACCTAAAATATGAAACTAGAATTTGAAAAGAGGAAGTGCTAACAAATCGATGTCTAGATTATTAAACAGTATAGTATGAAAGATAAAATTAAAAGATTTTAGAGATTTACAATATCCTTCACATAAACAATGCCTTACCAGAAAAGCCAATCTGTTTCACACTCACTGTATGGCCACACCTTGAATCTCATCATCACTTAAAGCTGACAGTTCTGTCACAAACACTTCCCCTGTTGCCCAAACTAGAAGTAAATCTCTCCTTTGAAATTCCATTAATATTTTATATCTTATGAAACATACCACTTTTTACATTTTTCTATTACAGTTTTTTGGTATCTAGTATGGCATCTATTTGGTATCTAGTCAACTAAATTGTGTAATCCATGAGCACAAGACCCATTGCTGATTCATCTTTACTTTCCCCAAAACACTTAGCTCAGTATCTTGCTCAGAGTTGACAACTAATTTTGGTTCAGTTGTGAAATACCATCTTGTCTGTATAGTAAACTTCATCATTTCTTAAAACTTTCATTGTAACTTAGTCAAGAATAATTATTAAGTTGCAAATATTCAAACATCCTTTTCTAGCAGTGATACTACTCCCGGTACCATAAAGCAGCATAAGGGTGTCACTTAAACTCTTCAAAGGTAAAGGAGATTGCTAAGCATTTAGTTTTTTAGTACAAAACTGAAATGTATTTACAAAAAGCCATGGCAAAACACAGAGTTGAATGACTGGAGTATCACTGGACTCTGTACAGTGACTCTTCAACACATAATGCCACCATGTAGGGCAAGATAATGCTGTCCAGTTTGGGACTGTCCCATGCACTGCAGATGGTTTAGCAACCCTGACTCCTGCCCGTAACATGCCTACAGCACTCTTCAGTAATTGTGACAACCAAAAATGCCCGCCAAATACTTCTACAAGTCTCCTAGGGAAGGCAACCCAACCTCCCTTGAGAAATGTACACATGACCACATATTGGGAACACAGCTGCCCCTCCCCTGAACCCCACTGCACACTAGTCAGTCTTGTGTTCTTCTGTAGAGGCTACCGAGATACAGGAGGCTATTCTTACTTCCAGCAGACTGATCTCTCCCACCTCTTTCATTCACTGGTGCTCATCTTCCTCCTCTCCCCATCCTACCCCACCACACACACACACTCCATGGAATAACAGAGAACTGACTAGACCTGGTTTCTCTACTGACCAGCACTTACTTAATTCCTAGGACTCTCAGTTTCCTCATATGCAGAAGAAAGATGACATTTCTCTGCTGCCTGACTCACAATACTGTTAAGAGAATAAAAGTAAATAATATCTGTATGGGGGATTATGGGTAAACTTCTAACATTTCCAGAGTATCTCACCTGGCTTTAGTGCCTTTGCATATCCTCAATGGTGGAGGGAAGTTCATCTTCATGTCAATGGGTAATTACCTGGGCAACCGAGGGCATGTCTGAACCTGAGAGTTTAAGGGGAGGAGCTGACATGCCTGCTAGCTTGCTTCTTCCAGAGCAGAGGAGGGAGACAGCCCTGGACTGCAGTTTGTAAGCAATAAACAGGTTTTAAACTTCATTTCTCCCTTTGATTTCTGTTTTTAGAGGTATTTTGCCTGGGATTTCCTCTCTCCAGACTTATATCTGGCAGAAATTGGCAGGATTCCTCTGAACCCGAAATCTGTCATAATGGGTGCAATCTTTGGGAAGGCTGCTCCTGTGGATGGTGGGGAGGCCCCAGTGGATGCAGTGGCAGAGGGTGCTGCTTCACCTGTTATCTCCCCAGCTGTGGGGCTTCCAATTTGGGAACCCCTAGGGGGGTAATTAGTCTAGGGTAAAGTATCTCCTACAGGGGTGGGGCCTTCCGCAGAACTGGGGAAGGGTGGAAACACCAGAAGCTGCCGAATTAGCCCTCCATGAGTTGGAAGACTGCTTGGAGACCTTAGTAGTCTCTTTTCATTGTAGGGTCTCTTTTCGAGATAGTGGAAAATGTTACACAGGAGAAAGAGAGGACTATCAAGGAACTTAGATGGGAGAGAGACACACTTCAGCATCGCTTGGAGGAGCTGGGTGATAACCTATGGGATGCTATTAAAGAAGAGAGACAGTTACTAAAAAGGCAGGTCATGCTCCTAGAAGATTCCTTAGCAGCAGCGATCAGGAAGACAGCAGAAAAAGCTGTGTTACAGGCTGCTGTGGGGGAGGGGGAGGAAGGAGTGGTGCCTTCAGCCCCAGAAATGGTAGAGGAGGAGCCGTGATGGACAAGCCCAAGGGAGAAGAGGAGGAAGCGGGGCCACTACCAGAGGTACCATCTTCTCCTTGTTTAAAGGCCCACCCAGCTGTAATTAATAAAAACAAAACAACCACGGGCTCCTCAGGGGGAGGAGCAGCCCCCTCCCCAGGTTGTGGAGCACTCCATGCCCTGCCCCTATACCCAGGATGAGCTGGTGAACATGAGTGTCGGTATAGGCAGAGGCCATCAGAATCTCCGCCTACATGGTTTTTACATCTCTGGGATACAAGGGTGGAAAACATTGTTGTGTCAAGTACTGGGATGAGTAGAATGACTTCCCTGACGACTCACCCTTCCCTCCCGCAGCGGTTGCAAAATGCCCATCACACCTCAGGGAATCAAATACTCCCAGAATGGCTGACAGCTGACAGCTGCCATCGGGTAGTTTGGCCTAATCAGGGTGATTTACCATATTTTCCCAGTAGTTAAAAAACATGCAGAGCTCCAACAGGTACTGTGGGAATTGGGTATGAAAAATATCACCTATAATATGGACCTCCAGGGCTCTGATGAGGAGGTGTTCACTGTAGGAGTGAGAAATCAGGTGCTGCATACAGCTCCCACATCTCTCTTTGGGTCCCTAGTGAATACTCTTGCCCCCCCCCCACCTAGGGCAACCCATAAGTGAGGCTACTCGTACTTTAGCAGATCTGGGGGAGGTTGAGACAATAAGGGCACGGAGGGAAGTATGGGCCACGACTGAAAGGAGAGGTGCAAAAGGCCCTGTGAAAGTCTCATGGACTCAGATGTGGGTTGAGTTGATAAAGGCCGGGGCAGTGAAAGAAAAACTCAATGGGCAGCCGAACAGAATATTGTTAGAACTGTGGCACCAATTAAAGCCAGAGCAGCAGTTCTAGCTGCTGAGGTCCAGGACACGGAAACCAGAGTCAAGGCCTCATGCCCGGCCTATGTCCTGCAAATCTTCATGGGAGACAGTACTCAGGATTCGCCTGAGCCTTCACCCCCACAGGAGCATGATTGGGCACTGCAGTTCGAATGAGGTGGGTAAAAGGCCCAACCCTGAGGGACATAGTGGGAACCAGAGGCCACATGTAGAATTAGCAATTCATTGGTCTCCTGTGAATGTACATGTCCTGGCGCTGGTGGACACAGGAGCTGAGTGTTCTCTGATTCATGGCAACCCTGAGCATTTTCCCAGGATGCTTGCTGAGATAGATGGCTATGGGGGTAAGGCAATTAGAGTGAAGAAAGCTCAAATCTTATTGGGGATAGGACATTTACCCCCAAGGAGTATACTGTGTACCTTTCTCCCATACCTAAATATATTTTCATGGTAGATATCCTGTAGGGCCTGTGGTTACAGACCACTGCAGGTGAGTTCAGACTGAGGGTATATGTGGTAAAGGCAGTTCTGTAGGGGACATGCTAAGCACTCACCTGTAGCTCTGCCTGTACCTTGGTGGGTGACAAATACTAAGCAGTATAAATTGCCTGGGGTGCACAAGGAAATTGGAGAAACTCTACAGGAGTTGGAGAGGGTGGGCATCATAAAGCCCACTCATAGTCCTTTTAATTCCCCAGTGTGGCCAGTGAGAAAGCCAGATGCCTCCTGGCGTATGACTGTGGACTACAAGGAACTGAATAGTCACACTTCCTTTGCATGCTGTTGTCCTGTCTATAGCAGACATTCTGGACACCCTCAGCCATGAACTGGGAATGTATCATTATGTGGTAGACCTTGCTAACGCTTTCTTCTCTATTGACATTAGTAGCACAGGAAAGCCAGGAACAGTTTGCTTCCATGTGGGAAGGCCGGCAGTGGACGTTCACTGTCCTTCCACAGGGATATCTCCACAGTCCCACCATCTATCATGTACTTGTAGCCAAGGACTTGGCCACATGGAGGAACCCACAAACAGTGCGGTTGTATCACTACATTGATGATATGCTCATGTCTGATTCTCTTTCAGATTTAGAAGGAGCAGTTCCTAAACTGTTGCAATATCTACAGGAAAAAGCATGGACTGTGAACAGCACCAAGGTTCAGGGACCTGGTTTGTCAGTGAAATTCCTGGGGGTTTGTCTGGTCAGGTAAAACTAAAGTTGTTCCTGAAGCAGTCATAGAGAAGTTCATCTCCACATCAATGGGTAATTCCCTGGGCAACCGAGGGCATGTCTGAACCTGAGAGTCTAAAGGGAGGGGCTGGCTTGCTTGCTGGCTTGCTTGCTGGCTTGCTTCTTCTGGAGCAGAGGAGAGAGACTACCCTGGACTGCAGGTTGTAAGCAATAAATGGGTTTTAAACTTCATTTCTCCCTTTGACTGATTTCAGTTTTTAGAGGTATCTTGACCCAGGATTTCCTCTCTCCAGACTTACAGGGATTAAGGCTGAAGAGCAGAGACTGAAATATACATGCCATTGCCATGACCCTTTTCTGATAGGAGATAAAACCTAAACTTACCCATCAATGGTAACTCAATCTTTTCTGGTTTATAAAGGTTTCTTTTGGGTACAATTATTCAGTTATTTCAAACCTCCTTTCAGACTTGTTTTTCCCTTCCCTCTACCCTACTCCTTCCCAAGGAATCTGGCAGACTCTTATAAGAGGACTGAAGGTCTTTGGTCTGCTTGCTGTCCGAGTCTTCAATGATTCCTGTTTCAAGGAGACTGGTCTGGTCTTATCCCTGGTGTCCACAAGAAGATGCTTTTTCTTTCTTGGCATTGGCCTGGCATGTCCAGCTGAAGCAAAAGATCACTGCCAGAGCCTCTGATCAAGAAACATGTACAGCAGTGACCTCATCTTTCATCCCCTCTTTCCAATCCACTAATTCTCTCTGGGCTTCCAAATCTACCCTCCAGGGCACAAGGAAATTTCTGGATCCATCTGTATGTCTTGATAGGCCATAGGGAATTGAAGGAACTACATCCTCAGGTCATTTAGTTAAAAATCTTCCTCAACTCTAACCAACCACCTATGTGGCAACCACATTCTCCCAGCATTAGATGAACACAAACTTCTCTGAAGAGCTTGAGTTTTCCCCAACTACATCCTGAGAACCCCAAATTAATGCAAGTGTCTCTATCTCTCCCAGTTCTCTGCTTCAACACTGGTGAGGGCCAGGGTTGGAGGGAATACTCAACCCCAAAAGGGAAATCAGGATACTGTGGCTGGCTTAGTGTCACCTCTTCCTCTGCTTCTGCTCAGTCCACCCAGGATCAGAGAGGCTTTATACTCCTTCCCAGCCTGGACAAGCCTCAGAGCAGCCACCTACAACCCTCCTCAAAGCTGTCTGCTTTCACTAACCATGCTGAAGTTTTTTGAATGTATTATTGGTTCCATGTTTCCCACTTGCCACCCTTTGCAACAGTTCATTATTGCTCCTGTTCTTGTCATTTGCCTTGGTTAGTTTTACGTGTCAACTTAGGCTATGGTACCCAATTTTTGGTCAAATACCAGTCTAGATGTTGCTGTGAAGGAATTTTTACATGTGTAACATTTATATCAGTAGACTTTGAGGAAAACAGATTATCCTCCAAAGTGTGAGTGGGCTTCATCCAATCAGATGAAGGCCTTAAGAGAAAAGGCTGAGGTCCTTCAAGGAAGAGGGAATTCTGCCACAGACTGCCTTTGGACTTGAGACTACAACATCAACTCTTCCCTGGGTCTCCATATGGCTAGACTGCCCTGCAGATTTGGGACTTGCCAGCCCCTACAATCACCTGAGCCAATTCCCTAAAATAAACCTCTCTATACATAGCTAGATATATAGGGATGTCAACATATCTAGATATCCATGTAAATGTACATACTATTGGTTCTGCTTCTCTGGAGAGAATTCTGACTAACCCAATTCTAAGGCACACAGGCCACTATCCTTTTTTCTCAGGGTTTCATCTGTAGCCATGTCTTCTTTGGCTTCTTTTCTTATAACAGCATCAGAGAAAATGCTTTCTGACTGGTAAAGTGAACAGTGAATGTGAGTCAAGTAAAACCTAGTCCTCTCTGCCACTGCTCAAGACCTGCTCTTGTGTAGATCAGGTTGGGACAGATCAGAAGACTGCTCTCTTAAAGACATGAGGTTCTACTGTTTAAAAACATAACCCTACAGGAATCATAATGGGGCTGTATATTTTGAGTTCATGGTTTACTGGTTTATCCCTTCTATTTTCCCTTTTCCTCAGCCCCTTCCCAATTCAGGCCTTGTTCTTCATTCCCTTAGGAGACTATATGTCAGGGTAGAAAACAGAGTAACCTGCAATCCATTCTGGCTTTAGTTTTCCAAGGAACTGAAGCTTGAGATTAATCCAGAGGGCTATACAAGAGGTAACAAGAGAAAGGGCCAATCATATGTGCAGACAGAGCATCCCAGAGAACTGGGGGAAGAGCAAGGTCTGTCTACTCCAGGTTGTAAAGCAGCAATCAATGACTTATACTCAACCTTTATGGCATAACTCTATGGCCATGTACAGGTACTCTAAGAATGAATGAGGTAAAACTGAAATTGTCCATTGGCCTAATGGAATGGCAGCTCTAACAGCTATAACACTGAGCGCCTACTATATGCCAGTCCCTGCACTAAGAGCTCTTACATGTATCGGTACTATTATTTTCTCGATTTACTTAAAATGTAAATGATTTTCCCAAATTTAGGCAGCTATTAAGAGGAGGCTGTGACACGGTTTCAGAAACTTTACCTATAATCCTAACCTAAATGGTCAGACTACTGAGTATTTTTATAACTAACATAGACAAAACAACTGAGTAACCACAGGCTACCATTTGATCATAGTAACAGAGCTTAAAAAGTCTAGATTAGGAAGAATATTTAAATAGCTAATTCTGTACATTGGCTATTAGTTGAAATAAACTATAATAGAGAATACTTCTTTAGAATTTCAATGCCTCTTTGGGTTCTGCTATATTTACTCATATTAAAGTAGTAATTTGGAAAACAATATTAAAGGAAGACATATTACTCACATGTTTACTTCATCTTCATTCAATAATTGCATCACTAACAGGGTAACATGAAGGGAACCATCACTGGTCATTGCTTTAGCCAGTCGCTTATCTTGCTGTATTATTTCATTTTGCAGTGTCTTAATTCCTCTTATAATCTAATCATATGCACACATACATATATAAAATAAAGATTAGGCAAGCAAAATTTCCTTTTGGCAAAATGTTAATCAAGACGAAAAATAAGCAACAACCAAAATTAGAACAATGTCAAGATCCTTCAACCAAACAATGCTTAGTTATCCACCTGTTCTCAAGTATCCTGGAGAGATGACTTGGAAAGCTTAATAGGATATGTAGGTTAAAAAAATCACACGCTGCTTATCCACCTTAACATCATCAAGTGCAACGCCCTTATTTTACAGACTGGATCACTGGCTGAATAAAAAAACTTTCAATGGTCATGCTTCTTTTCAGAAACTTGTCCTTGGAATATACAGTATGACTCACTACAATTATGATCCTTCCAAAAAAAAAGTCTTGTTCTTGCCACAGAAAGGTCAAACCAGCAGACAACATTCCATTTCTGTTGGAAGTAATATTTATTTGTCTCCAAGTGAATGTGTCTGAGAACTCATTCTTCATGGCCTTTAGAACAGCAATAATTTCCATAGGAATGACGACTACCATTTTTCCAGATATGTGAGGAGCGTCATAACCATGGAGAGTGAGTTGCAGAAGTTCAAATGCTTAAGTTAAAAAACTGTTACAGTCTGCATGCAGATAAAATCCTCAGGCATTAATCAGCCTACTACTCTGAAACAAGAAGAGGAATGAGGCCTCTTCCTTCCTCATTTCCAGTTAGGTACAATTCTAGTCAGCTTCTACATGTCAGTGTATTGGAAAAGAGCTTGAATATAAAACAGCAAATTGAGCAATACCCATAGAAAAGAGAACACACAGAAGCCCTGAGGTAGCAGCACATGAGAAAAAAGGAAAAGAGAGGGGGCTGGCAAGAGAAGCACAGTCATAAAAAAACAGCAGAGATAACAAAAAACTGAATCATGAGCATAGCAGACTGTTCTGATAGGAGAGTGGCTGCTTTATTCTGAACAATGTTCCCATTATGTGCAGAACATGATTGGGCAAATCATGAGACGCTGTCCTGAGATCTGACTTCGCATGTATCTTTATAATAAATCCACATCACCCAAAATAACCTCAGCATTTCTCTATTCCTCGCAATCTGGACAGGAAACAGTGTTTTCCTGGCAGGAAGCTGCACAGTAACACCTAACATAATACTTCCCACGGCCCAATGTCTCTTCTAGGACACGCCACAAAAGAAGTGATAGATATACTAATAAATGAAATGCTCCTAACAAAGATCTTATAGAGTCATAATTTCCTCTACTTTAAATTAATAAAATTTAATTGTAAAATCCTCAAGAACTATTTCTTCTACCACTATATCTCATCACAGTGCCTACTAGTAAGAATATAAGCAATATTTAAACAGCAGCAGTAACTAACCTCTACTGGGTGGTCACGAGATTCCAGACAATATAGTGAGCATTTTACATATATTAGTTCACTGAAGCCTCTCAACAACCCTATGAGGTAGATAATGGTATTATCTCTTTTAAAATAAACAGAAACACAGAAGATTAAAAAAAAAAACTCTTCAAGATCTTATACCCAAAAAAGCAAAGGAATTTGAGCAAAGGATAAAATGCAATACATGAGAAAAGAGGGAGGTACATGGACAAAAAGATCCAGGAGGGGTGAACAGGGAGAAGAGAAGCAGCTAGAATGTGGAGTAAGAGTCAACAAGGAATTTGTTTTTCTAGAGGAGACAAGTAGAGGGGCAAAGATGTGGGCACTAACCTAAATGAAATACTGAGGGGAAAAAAACATTTAAAGGTGATTTTTAGGAAGTCCTACTGGATACTGTGTAATAAAACACACTGCGCCCTCAAAAAAGCCTTTAGTGTAAGTTTACGTTACTCAGCAATGATTTTAAGTTTGAATTCTTGAGTTTTTCCAAGGACAAGTAAGTACTAAGATTGGCTAATGGGCATAAGAAAGCAGCTCAAGAGGGCTCATATGCAAAGGCCTGGCCCAGTGTCAAGGATAGCATGTTGCACAAAAAAGTCAGGCCTCAAAACAATATAATTACATCTTCAAATCTTAGGTGGTACAAATAGTAATTCTGGTTTAACCAACATGAAAAAGTGGCTTAGGATGAGAACTCTGTTACATAATGCAAAGTGATACAAATTAAGGGTGACAGACTTGCCTCAGAAATACTGGAGTTAATGCCAGGCCTGCCACAGATGTGACCCCATACAAGTTCCCTAGTCTCACTGAGTCTTCGTTTCTTCAATTATGAAATTGGAAAAGTAAAATCTGCCTTGCCAAATTTATAGGGACTGTGTTAAAGATCACAACAGCCAAGCTACATGAAAGTACTTCATAAGTTCCACACCATTTGCCTAGTATAAGGTATGCAACACTGCCAATATTATTAAAATCAGTGGTTCTCTACTTAGGCAATTCTCCTTCCCAGAGGACATTTGGCAATGCCTGGAGATATTTTGGTTGTCATAATTGGGGGCTTGCTACTTAAACCTACTGGGTGAATTTTTGCATTTTTGTAAAAGCTTCGTCTTTGTACAAAGCTCAGATAATAATTACATAAATCCAGAATAATGCTCAAAAAATTTATTACATTCGTATGTTCAGCATTTTAGTGCTATGTTCTACATGGTAAAATAGTTTTAAACCATTCATATCTTTGAATTATTCAGTAGCTTGTAAAATTACAAATTAAAAACCATAAAACACTTTGAACACTATTTCTCTGAAGTCACACAGTACTTATAATACAGGATTAAATCCATGGGGAAAAAAAAAAAATCTAAAGATAATCTAATCAAATAATGTCTTTTTAGCTATGCTTTGATGCTCCAGATTAATTTATATATTCCTTGATATCATCTTAAGAATTTTTTAAATGCTTTTTATTCCTAATTACATACTTAAAAGATAAAAAGAAACATACTTCAGAGTCTTCCCTATATGCCCTTTTAAAAAGCACCAATGTCATTAAAGGCCAAAGAAAACTAATTTTTATAGCCATTGTTTAAAATTCTATAGAGCCATTCAAGTTTATGTGTCACCATAATCCCCAGCCATTGACATTATTGCACAAGGCACATTTTTCAAAACTTACTACTGTAGAATCATACTTAAATATGACATTGAAAGAAACTTTTAAAAATAAAAGGTTTATTAAAATCTTAGATATTTCATTCGAGTAATTTCTTTGTTTAGAAAATAAAAACAGACACCCATCTGCTAAACCTCACCACTCAGTGATGTTCCACATAACTAAAAATAATGCAATAAGAAAATCCATTTTTATATCTTCTAAGCTTTCTAATTGACGCAAAGCATACAGAAGGTCAAAGAAAATGCCTTAGAATTAGTGTGCTTCTGCATGAGAGAGAAGAGTTATATTCTAGCATACAGTAGCGGAACGTCCTTGACCTCATCTTTTCACATTATTTTTGGAGCTCTTCTAAGTTCTTAACTTAAATTGTTACTAAATTTGCTGCCTTATTAAGCTTTTCTAGAATTAGCACTTTAATTTGCTACCTAACTTATCTTCAAAGCTGAGTATTCTCATTTTTCTTGCTTGTCTACAACCATGAAAAGAACTTGAAAATAAATGACACAGCAGTAACTGGAGTAAAAGTAAAAAATCATCCTCAAATAGGAGAATTTTCTATATCTACCAAGTGTTTAACACATACATGACGATATCAAATATGTTTGCAAACATATTTCCCAGAAAGGAACCAAATGCATAAATTTGCTTTATTTTCATAAGATCAGCAATTTCTATATTACAAAATGATAAAACACAATGTAACAGATGCCTTTTTAAACCCCTCATATTTTCCTGTTAGTATAAAAAAAGTATCTTATCAAAAAAATGAATATACTCCCAATTTCTATCAGTTTCTATTTGCTCCCTTGCAGTTTTTCAGTGTTCATTCACCTTATATTATTAATTTTCATAAGAAAGCATATAAGACTAACATGGGTAAATCCAACTAGAACTAATATTTAAACAATTCTAGCTATTTAAGAAACATTTTTAGGATTTATTATAACTCCATGCAGTTTTTTTTTCTTCTTTATTTTTAAGCTAATGTGTAACTGCAGGCAATGAAAGAACACTACTTCTATATACTTGTTTTTAAGATGCTTTTATGCAGCCATTCTAATTCATTTTCCAACCCTATTTCTTAAAAATATGCAATTATCATTTTCCATTAATAAAGATTTCCAAACATTTAAGAATGTGGTTTAAAAATCAAAGACCCAGTAAGTCTGAATGTTTTTTTTTCTTTAAAACTAGATGCCAACAAGTAGAGGCCAAAAGTAGAGCAACTTATTGTGAATGTGCTAGCTTCCAAAAGCTTGTTTGCAGGTCACTTAATCGGAACTTGGAATACAGCCTCCTACTGAGACAATGTTATAAATGCTGCTCCTTTTCCCAGGCCTTCCCACAAAAGTTCATAAGTAGTTTTAAAAGAAAATTAACATTAGATACTTTAAAACAAACAAAACAGATGCTCATATGAAAGAAGTAAAACGTATCTCCCAATCTTGTCCCTACCTCTATTCCCCATATTTGTATCCAAGCTTTCTGGTACCTACAAATAAGACTCCTTAGAGGAAAGCCTTCAATTATTTGGTTTCCAGGTCACTTGAAACCTGCATTCTCCACTATTACAAACCACCCTACTCCCTCAAAAATAACTGCTCTTGAATCTATATTATGAAGCCAGCATTTGTAACACTGTATTTATTATTTGTGAATGTCCTGGTTATAATTTAGTGTTCCAGAAACACATCCTCAGCCCTGAAATGACAGTGTTTTGAGCATGTATGTGCCTACGCTTGCCAAGCTCTGTTCTAGGTACTGGGAGTAAGCAGATAAACTTTGTGGGGACAACTCACAAGTAACAAAATGGAAGGATGACAAATGGCAAGGAAAGTTATGAAAGTCTTGGGGGGTGGGGAGTGACCTAGCCAGGGTGGTCACAGTGGAGAGGTTTGAGCTGAGATTCTGGCATTAACAAAACCAAGGAGAGAGGTAAGAAAATGCCCAGCCAGAAAGGATTTCTCTGGAAGCAGACAGAACCCGACAAGTTCAAGGAAGCCAAGTGGCTCAAGCAGAAGGAAAAGGAGCAGAAGTGAAGAAGGCAGACTGCAGAACCATACAGGATATAACACAGAGCTTTTGTCCTTATCCTAATATCAAAGGAAAATACTGAGTATATAAGCAAGTAGGTGGCATGTCCAGATTTGGGTTTAGAAAATAATCATCATCAATTCCATTAAACACATGAAGAAACTGAAACTACAGAAATTATGTGACCCAACCTATATTCACAGTGGAGTTTGCGACCCAGCTGGTATTTGCACAAGGTCTGTCCGACTCCAAAGCCTATACTCTTCCCCCTCTCTACACAGCCTCCCAGAAGTTGAGAAGCAGAAACATGCTGCAGCAGCTTATGGGGTGAAAACTAAAACTCATAGACTGTTCTCTCCTCCCTTTCCTCCCATAACCTTTGTGGCCCAAATCCTGAAACACCTGGTGGAAGAAAATAATTTCTCCACCCTCTTTCCTCTCAGTCCCCTCCGCCACCTGCCCAGTCCCATCACATCACCCCACCACTGTGCCTTGTAAGAGATAAGGGCCAGAAAGAGGCTAGGAGGAGCTGCAGCAGGTGTGAAGGGTGAGGCAGAGCTCGGTTCAGACCACCACAGAGGCCAAGACTACAGGCATGAAAGAGAAAGGCAAAAGGCAGGGCCAAATTAAATCAACTTTTAGACACGCTTACCAAATTTCTATACTGACAGATTCTGTAGTGGAACAATCTCTGAGCAACAAATCACAGTGAGGAACCTGGTGTCTCTTCAGTCACAAAGCACGTGTTCTTGGGGGAGTTACTCCACCCACTACTTCACCCGCCTCTGTCCCACCACCCAGTGAGGCAGCACCACCTTTGACTCCCCTTCCTCTTCTAATTCCCAGATGTACACATGATCCCAAGTTCCAAAGAGCTCGCAAGTAATTTAATAAAATATGTAATTGCAGATTGGACTATTTTACTGTTAACTCACTGGTACATAACAGTAAAATCGGACCATGATTCTTTACTGCACCAAATTCTAAAATCTTGTGTGACTAAGCAATGCAATTTCTCTTCTTATGTATCTTCTCTCCCCAGCTAAACTGTATCTCACAGACTAGATATATCCTACAATGCCCCAACAGAATTAATTTTTTTCTTTTGATATGTATTTAATTCTTTGATTTTTAAAAATTCCTTAGCATTCCCTAGAAACATTCACATTAAGCAAGGGGAAAAACAGCCTGAAAATGTGTCTAGTAAAAGAGATGACAGCCCACATTCAAACAGAAATTCAGATCTGGCTCTTAAATTAGAACACAATATAAAAAGAGTCAGTCTTCCAAGTGAGGTGCTCTTTCAGAAAGCATTTTAACTCCTACCTCACTTCTCTAACAATTTTAGGTTCTGTAGTTGACTCTCAGCCACATACAAAGGCCTCTTAGTGTGGGCCAATGGCTGGTCCCATTTCCTATTTTTCATACCACATTAATTTTTCAAACTTTTAATGTATTTCTACCAAGTCATGCAATATTAAGTTGGTATGACAATGAGAAATTTTTAAAGAAACTATGTTGTAATAATCACTACCATAAATAGGACTAAGCCGCAAGAAATCCCAGTTTACTTTTCCAGCAGAGATTTCAGAATCATTTTTCTACCTGGTCACTGCTCTCTGCTTCTGGAAGCTTCCTTCATTACAGTGAACAAACACTTAGCAAGGTCCTTGATGTGCCATCTGGCCACTCTTTTCCAAATGGCTTTTTTGCAAGATTATTGTTTAGATATGATTGTTCAAATAATGTTTTTCACAATTATTGCTTAAATTATATTTTATTATTTAAATAGGATTATTTCCTGTATGGCCAACTAAAATGCCACCAACCACCCTTAAAAGCTAAGGGCAAGTGTGCTTATGAGCATTTAGTGTACCTTAAATATAATTTAGAATAAAACTTAGTAGTAAAAATAGATTTTGAAAAAACAGCACCTCTTTGTTGGTGATCGGAATGGATAGGAAATAGTTGGGTAGATAATCTTTTTGCTTCTTTTTCCTCTTCTTTATTTGATCTTTACAGATCCGTTCTTTTTCTTTACTTCTCTCCAAATTTATTCGAGGTACATCAATGACTAGAAGAAAGAAGTCAAACAACAATATGTCTAACGCATTTAAATAAAGATAATTTACTCAGAAAAAAAAAGCAATATCTGTAGCAATCATTCATAATTGTCATTTTCAAATGTAAAGCAGGAGCTGGGGAAGTCTTTTGTAGAGGACCTCATAGTTAAAATTTTAGGTTTTGCAGATCACATGGTCTCAGTCAAAAGTACCCAACTCTATCATCGACAAAACATAGGTGAATAGGTATAGCTGTGTTCCAATAGAACATTATTTACAAAGCACCCAGTTAGCCAGATTTGGCCCATGGGCCATAGTACACTAACCTCTGATCTAAACATGACTAACAATCATCCTGTCTCCCATGATGTAATTTTCATGATACTAGGAAAGGTCATTTTTTAATCCCATCTTGTGCATATATAAATATACTTAATAACGTCTACAACGTAACCTTTTGCAGCAATGCCACTCAAAGTCTGGTGTGTCATCAATGTCAAACTACAAAATATTAGCTGCAAAAATTAAAAGAGATGCTTTCAAAATTTTCATAGCAATTAGGCAAACTAATTTTGTCTAGTGAATTTTGGTTTCTATTTTGTTGGGTTTTCTTCATCATTTTTCTGATATTTCATATCTTACTTGTATTTTATAAAAGCATCAATTGGCAACAAATAGAAAATTTTAAAAAACAACACTGGCCCTTGACCATAGATAATTTGAGAAGCACTTAGCATGCTGCTTTTTAAAGTCATCTTCAAAAGACTTATTTACACCACCCAATAATTCCAATTATGAAGCTAAATCCCCAGAAACAATTACAAATCATTGTGAAACACCACTGTCTCCTTTTTTATTTTATCATGGGCCTCCATATGCATGCAGAACTACCATTAATTGAGTTTTCAAGCTGTGCCTTCTTGAACAGTAACTTACTGTTCAAAATAGAGTGCCTCACAGACCTCATAAAAATTCAAAAGTATTTTCTGAAGTATGATTTTGGATAGGAGTGTGAAGGAGGAACCATCTACATTGCATTCAATCCTCTAAGGTTTATTTCATCTAGGGAGTCAAGGGTCCTTGGTGACCACCTGCCCACAATGCCTTAAGAAGGACTGTGGGAAAAGTCTGAGTTCAACCAGTAGCACAATGTCTGTGTGCATAGGCAAGCCTCTTGTAACAAAACTCCTTATTTTACATATGATGAAACAGAAGAGCAGAAAAATTTTTTTAATTTTTAAGACTCACAAAGTCTTTTAAGTTTCTCCTTCCAGTGTACTTCCTACTAGATCAAACTTCGTCTCTACTGAAATTCTGCATAAGTAGTTACTATCAGACACAAAACCAAACAGCCTAGGTAATTGTTTTTCTGTTGTACTTCAAAATATCAATAATAAACAATTTTCAAATAAATGTCACAAATAGTACTTTAATGCTAACTTCTAGGAAATACAGTAGAGCCTGTTCAAAATTTAAAAACAAAGGGTGTCGGGAGCCAGTCCAAACCACCAGCCTGATGACGCAGTCCGGGCAGTCGGATGGCAGGGACTGCACAGCGGCCTTCCCAGAGGGGCAACCCCCATATCCCTCCTGCTCAAAATGTCCCTCCTAATAAACTTGCTTATTTCGGTTTCAGTTCAAGTTGCCCCTTTAGGAAGAGGCCACATCCAATTCTCCCTGAAAATTTTAGGTACTGGCCCTAAAGGAAATTGGAAAAAAACTACTACTGTCCTTGTGACTACCCCTGATGATGGGAAAGTGAGACCCTATGAGCACTGGACCCAAGTTTATGGGAAAAAAGATATGGAAAGTTTACCTGGGTCAAGGTCCCTTCATGGCCTCCAAATAACATATTCAATGATTAATGGTGACAGGTGGGTACAGAGAACAAATGATATTCTGTGGCTAGCCAGCCAGAGAACAGCCTGGCAAACAATAAAACAAATGAGAACAGGGCATTACCTAACTCCAGATCAGAAAAATCTCCATTGCAAGTCTTACTGAAAATGGGTTCGAGGCACAGTCCATAAAATTTGTCCCTGCCTGCCAAAAAGTCACGGTGTCCTTTTAGAGAGAGCCTCTTTCTTTCCTACCGGAGATGAAGAACGGGAGTACAGCTATGAAAGAATGAGGGCCCTACATAAAAACAATAAAATAGTGAGGTTTAAATGGTCATCTGTAAAGAAACCAAGAGTCTGGCACCTACCTAACCTTTATAAGATTTTCTGGCCGCAATAACTAAGACCAAATCTTACTTAGAAACAAGTTAACTGCCAAGACCTGCCAACTGAGTTAATCTCATTCTCCAAACTCATGTAACTGTGCTATGTGTCAATTAAATGATTAATATCTGTACTTTACTTTATGTAATCAAAGAGTATATAATCAAACTGTTACTTTTCATTAAAGGCGAGGCTCAGCTTTTGCTAGTGTCTGTGTCCTCATTCATTCAGTCGCTAATGCCGTTCACCCTTCAGGGACTAATGCCGTTCACCCTTCAGGGACTCCTGGACTCGCTGGAGCTGGACTCCAGCAAAAGGGTTTGTGGAAATAGACATGCTTTCTTTCTAGGACTAACATATATTTGTGAGACCAAGAAGATAGGGAGGAATTAAGAGCCAGATGACCTAACTGTATTGTTTAGTTAAGACAAAACTACCTGGCGTGTCTATTCATCCATTTTACTACTACACATCTCATGATATGCCTAATGATTAATGTGATTAAAATGATGTATCTTCACACACACAGAGCACATATTTAAAATTTAAATTATTAGCTTCTATTACTGTCTCCTGATACAAACTAAGCACTCTTACTATTATAATTATTTGATATCACCGAAAGCTAAACATAATTAGGGAGATAAATCTGTATCTGCTAAGATTACTTAGGGGATCCCAAAAACAGATGATGTCTAAACAAACAGCGATCCACTGCTTTTCATTATCCAGACCACTTTGTACCCTCTATGAATATAGAAAATGAAGACCGGTCAGGGTTTTTTTGTTAAATATTGAAAAAAATTCAAAAGCAAAACACCCATTTTTTAAGTAAAATTACAAACCAGTTCTAAGTAAGCTCCCAGCATCCTTTCTCTTATATGCCATTGTCCCAGTCAGGACAGAGGACTAACCCCAGGCAGCACAGGAAGCTGGAATAGCGAGTACCTGTAGGTTATCAATCTATGCCGAGGTAGAAAAAGGAATCTACAAAAGGAAAAGGGGAGGAGGAAGGGCTGCTGACAAGGCAACTAGCAGTGTCTGTTTCAATTTCTTTAGAAGCAGCACTTTATAGCGAAAAGGGCACTGACCCAAAGATGAGTCTTCCAACAAGCATCTTTCCACCAAGCTACTTCATTTATCTGAGAATTTTAAAAGCTGGCCATTTCTTAAAGAAATAACTGATTGTAGGTTGGAGACATAGAATACACTAGAGTAGCCTAGAAATTCAGACTCCTAATACCATGTGAGACGGTCTCTAGGGTCAATTTGAAAGTCCCCCTACTGGCCAAAGGTGGGACAATTTGAGCATCAAGTAACTTTAATGGTGTGAGGTACACTAAGTATGTTTTAATCCATTACTTCATAATAATACTCAAAAGAAAAGTTAAAATAAAAAACTCATAGGTCACCTTTGGAGGAGTCTGAAGAACCATTATTCTAAAAATCTGATGATAAAAAAGGAAAAAAGTCAAGCATGTAACCTGTTTCCTTATAATCAAATAGTTATACGGGAAATAAAGTTCTTTATAGAAATTTTCAGCTAATAAATGCAAAGGATGGAGTTAGAGTATCACCATTTTGAAACCCTTAACAGACTAATGGATCAACCCAAAGATCACCAATGGATTATCCAACAGATGGAAAGCTGTTGGGGAACTGTAATAATGGATATAACAGGGACAAGATGGGAGGCCACTGACCATTCTTAACATCACAAAAAAGGAAGAAACCAAACACTATATGCCTCCTGATATCATCCAATAGGAAATTCAAAACACTTCTACAACTTCTTGCCAGTATTCCTAAACTGTATCAAGCCTCCTAATCTCAGCTACCAGTATATTTGAAACATAAAGGACAAAAGTTAAATGCCCAGTGGTGTCCAAACTAACAATCCAGCTGCATTTATAACTTTATTTCATCTCAAATTTAACATAGTAGACAGAGAATCCTGAACCTATAGTCTAGTTTTTCTTTTTCAATCTGCAAGTATCAACCAGTGGGTTATGGAATCAACTTAGAATATAATAAAAAAAAGCACTTTTTAAAAAATTAAAATGGAAAGGAATGCAGTGGGGTGGCATGGAATGGAACATAAGTAATATAGACAGTACATTGCTTATGGTAAATATTAAGTATTGCTTCATGAAATTTGAGTTTTTAGCATACACATGTAGTGGGCGGCAATTCAAAATATATTCCTTACTGTGAACACAAGACAGAATCATTTTTTTTTTGCTGCATTTTTCTCAATATGAAGAATATTAAGAAGTACAGATTTAGTCACATAGTACTTAAAAGACCCCCAGGCTTTCAGCATTTTAGGTTGCTTTGTATCTTATCAGTTTAAAACTAAATTGTGCTCCTCTCTGTAGCAACTTATTTTTCCAATTTCAAACATGCCATAAATCCATTTTGCAGACACTGAAAGAAGGAAAATTATAATCTCTAAAAGTCATAGTTACGATATATTGTTAACAACTCTAACAATTCTGGTATCATGAGAATGACACAGTGGAAAATCCCAATTCGAAACACAACCACACTTGGTAAAGATAAACAGTTCAGAGTTTTTCTAAATTCCCTTAGTTTTCTCTAATCTTATCAGTAACAAACTTTCCTTTGAATTGGATAATCTAAAATTTTCTTTTGTTAGGCAAAGTTTAAAATTATCTAATGAGAGCTGGGCAAAAAAGGAAAAGAACCCTATGAGAATTTATTGCTATAGTCCAATTTTATTAACCCTTATAAAATGTTTGGATTTTTTTTTCAATTCAGTGAGTTCT